GTCTTATGTCAGCATTTGTAGGTGTACAACTATGGCATGAGGGTTCAAGAGCTCCTTTGGTGGTAAGGGGTAGCGACGGTAATAGGACAAAGGAATTGATTAGGGGGAGGACATCTGTCTTTATAAGTTACTCTGCCTGCTGCCCTGGAGACCTGGCCATGCCTTCATCGATCTAGACCTTCATCCAGTTGACATTAATGCTTTCTGGGTGATGAGTTCGACTTTTTCTCATGACACTGGAAGTGGATAAGTGGCTTCCTTAAAATAAACTGCATAGAATTTAGGAAGTAAACTGACTCTAGAAATTACAGGATCACTGTCCAACAGCTTTGTCAAAAATTCAGGCTTCGTTTTAAAAGGGGAAAGTGTTGAAAGAAATGAATGCAGTACAAATAGGTATATATGGATTTTCTTCAACATTTAACGCAAACATTTGTCTAATAACTTTCAGCATTGGAAGACTTCTCTCAGAATTATATAAGCAACACAGATCAGACTGACACTGGTAGGTTTCACTGTGCAAGCTGCGTAAACAAGAGAAGGTTCAAAGCAAGATGGCAAGAATGTTGAAAGGTATGAATTGGGTTTTTTTTGTTTGTTGTTTTTTTTTTTTTTGTATGAAGAGATAGTAGCTAGGACAGCATTTGGCTCAGCTCAGGAAAGAGTGCCTGAGGGTTGTGATCACTGTACAGAATGTCATGGCTAAGATGGATACTGTGAATACGGGTTACTCATTCCTTCTCAGGAACCACAGTCCTGAAACTGAACTATCAGTCTTCAGATTTAAAACCAAAAGAAGTTTGTCTGTTTGTTTGTTTTCACACAATGCATTTTTAAATTCCAAATCTTGTTACTACCAAATGTTACGGCTATCAAATTATAAATAGATTAAAAAAATAACTAGGCAAATTCATAAAGAAATGGAGTGTTAAATATGACCAGGCAAATGCAAACCTGAACTCAGAAAATCCATGAACTACAGATTGCTACAATTTGAAAGGGGAATACTAGAGGGGAAGTCTCTCTTTAAGTGGCCTGTTTCCTACACTCTTTCGTAAGGGTATATTAATTGTCCTACTCACAGATGGGCTACTCCCCCAGTCTATGTCAGGACAGCTTCTTCTGCAGCATGGACAGTGAAGGATTGATGTAACTGATGGTGACCAAAAGGTTTATGATGGGGAAGGAAAAAAGGGAAAGGGGCAGAGAGCTTTGCTAAAACTAGTGTCTTCAGTGGGCTCTCTTCCTTCAGAAAGGATGTTAGATGCAGTTGTGCTCCTTTTAAAGTAAAGTAGCTGAAACAGCATCTGAGGCAAAGCAGGTTAGGCTTTGCCATGCTTAGGCAGGAGGTTAAGTGTGAAGGCAGAGATCCAGGCATGGATTGGTAGCTGTGTGCAGGAGAAAAAGTGTACATACAAGTTTCAGCAGAGTCCCAGATTTGTCACTGAGCTGACTGAGAGGGCAGTGGAGAGCCAGGGAACAGCCCGGAAAGCCCTGGTCATGTGACCCTTTTAAAAGCTAGGCAAGAGCACTGTTGAGTGAAATGTTCTAAAATGAACAGAAATAAGAAATCTTGAAATATGGAGTGATATGTTCCTTTACTACATAATTAATGTTACAGAAACGAAACAGAACTCTGTGTGCCATCTTTGTAGGTATGCATCAAAGAACTATCTGACTCATTTACCAGTTTCTTCTGGTAATGGAAATGTGCTGCAGATCTGAAGCATTACCATAATCAGTCAGAGTGTTGACAGTGTAATTGTGTTTCTTGATTGTGCCAATAGTGTTAGAGCTCTTCCCAGTGAATAATAAGGCCCCAGCCTTTGATATGGGTATCAGACAGTCTACAGACAAAAGTTAAGGGAGGAAGAGATATGATACAAAGTTGCTTGTTTACAGAAGAAGAAAACTGGGAAAGGGATTCTCAACTTTTCTGTTATTCTATCATCCTGATTTTTTTTTTTTTTTTCTGGTATGAAAGTGTCTTCAGATACAGTCTGTACATCAGAAGGTTGTGACTGTATTCTGAAAGGAGATTTTCTTGAAAAACTAAGAGATGGATAAGCCTATAAAGGTTACGTAGGACTAGGAAAATTGAGATAATGCTGTGAAGGAGATAGGCTAGTTTCGTGGGCAGTCTAATTCTGATTTTTAATAGCCCTTTGTTTTCAGTTGGCTGAATGCTTTTTAATAACACAAGAAAGAGATATATAGCTATGTAAGATAAAAAAGAAGGAAAAATAAGATTTTCGTTGTTGTTATTTTTTAAAATTTTATTTCTGTGAGAGTGTCTTCTTCCACCTGGCCAGGCCGTAGGATCTTGTACATTTTTTGTTTGCAGTGTGGAATTTACTATTTATTTAAATGTCTTACCGTGGCCTCAGCTGTTTGATTCAGGATCGAATAAGTGGCTGGTGATTTGTCAGGCTGTCACTCTATAGAGAAATCAAATTCTTTTGCCCGTTGGCCATCATTTTAATAGTGAATCATGGTGTTCATACAGCCCTGCTTTCTGGTGAGACCCTGGCTTGTGCCTGAAATGTAAATCATCATCCTCTCTACCTCTAACACATGTGTAACAGCAGGGGTTTTATCTTCCAGAAGGTGAGACTGTATTTGTGATAAAAGTGCTGGCTCAACTTCATAAATATTAACAACACTGGAAATTGTTACCAGAACAGTTATGGACTAAGTTGCTCCAGCATCTTTGAGCTATTTCTCAAGCGACATGCGCAGGTCTTTCATTTCTCTCTGTCTCCAAGAGCTCCCTGTAGTCCAGGTTCCCTTTTACCCCCTCTTAACTTGGGTCTAAAACTGTGGATTATCAGCACTTTTGCAGTATTTCTGACTTGGTTGAATCCCTGTGGCTCTTCTATTTGGGAGTTTGTAATTGCAATTCACATTATGGACTTCAGCCTTTTTTAATGCAGACACCACTGAACCATGGCAGTGTAAAGAAATAATCCCATGACTGGTAAAATGGTGGCATTTACTGTCCCATGGCTGCATCCCACAGCCCTAACATTCCCACCAAAATAACCCAAATTTTCCTCCTTTTGTTCACTGTAACTCACATCATAGGATGGCACCCTCAACTTGGACTGAATCCTATGAAACCCACCCCATTGTATAAACTGGGCAGGGAGCAGCAGCAAAACATAATTATTCAGTATCTGCTGCATGCTTTCCCCTTTCAGATTTTGTACAGTTTTCAGTGTAAGAAAATTTTCTGTAAGAACTGATTTTCTGTAAGAACTAATTTTTGTCTCCTGAATTGGATTGCAATTTACCAACAGGTTCAAAAGTTATTGAAGGTATAGTGGAAAACTGGAAAGCAGACTAAGCCAGCAAAACCAAATAATAAAAGAATAAGAATCTTAAAATAGCAAAGGTACATGTGTCTGCAGTTACTGATGCTGAATAACTATGTTGGTATAGGAACATACTTTCTTAAGATAACGGAGAATTAATATAGCTCTTAGCTGTCCTTGATGTTCTTGAACAGCCTTGCTGCAGGAGTAGTGAGAGCAAACCATCTACACCACTTTTCGGTGGAGTTTATTTCATTTATGAATGGGATTATACAGTGTCTGCCTGCAGAAAAAAAAAAAAATCAAAACCAAACCAAACCAAAACACATTAAGTATCTGGAAATATGATGACTTTTCTAGTCCCATGTTCTTACCTGCAAACTGTAACCTCCAAGAGCAAAATAAAGCATCCCAGGTCTTTCAGACCCTTCCAAAGATTATATCTGCTTGTCAGTCTTCTTCCCATATGCTTTTATTTCCTGATGATGGCATCTCTTTCCTGGTTGAGGGAATCCTTTTAACATTAGTCAAGGTCTTTATAGTTTGAACTTTACTGCACAGATGGGCAGTAAAAAGAGGATCTCAGGAAAAAAAAATGTTTTCTGCTTTAATCCCAAAATGTTGGCAGGTGGGTGGCTCTGAAGTCATCCTCACCACTTGTTTTCAGGAGACTTGCTGTTAAACTAACTCAACAGAATTACACAGGAAACCTCTCAATACAGTTGGTCAAATATCCAAAAATGAGGACAACAGCAGAGAGATTCAGGCTGGCTTGTAGGTCAGCCAGCTGATTATAGGATTTTCCCATTACAGAGGTAGATAAAACCTTTTGCAATTGCAGGACTGATGCGGTAATTGTGCTGTAAGATCTGATGAACTCCCAGGGGTATTTTACAGCTCCAGCTTTGTGTATACATGTCATGTTCTTTGACATGTGTGGAAAGGTGAACCCAGGGAAAATCCTATGGATTCCAGAGAAATCTGGAATTAGAGCTGAATCTGTTCTGCAGAAATAGAGCAGAGTTTTCAGACAGCTGCACTCTTCTCTTCATTTTTAGATGTATAGTAAATTTTCCAGGAGTATCTTGCATAGAGCTTCAGGTAGGCTTCAAAGGAGGATGCAAAAAGAGGGAAAGGAGACATACAAGTCTCTGTCATGCTCTGCCCTTTCTCACTTTCTTGCCTGCCTCACTTTTCCTCTTCTCAGATCTCAGCTGGGTCTGTAGCTGGGAGGGTTGATGGAGCTCTCCTGTAGCTCAGCAGCCAGTTGCCCTGTGGCAGTCACGCATCTGTGCAAGACTCAGCTGTGTCCCTGGCACACAGGGCCAGCTGCTCCCAGCAGACGTGCTTATGTCCACCAGTGCCTCCCCACGGGCACAGCTGAGCAATGTGGCCACGATAGCAGCTAAGTCCTGACCACCCAGGGCTAATTAATTCACCCTTCTTGTACATGTGCAGCTGTACAGGGTCCTGTGGGCTCGGTAACACCAGGATTCTGGGGATACTGTCCATTCAGGGGGGCAACATAATCTCTGGCCACAACGCCCCTGAAAAGCCCACAGACTCCTTTGTGCGCAGCAGCCCCATTTGTCAGGCAAGGGCTTTCAGAGAGGGTGGGAGGAGGGTCTCTGGGGACATTGCAGGGTTCCACTTGGGGACAACTTGCAGGGTATCTGGGCCCCAGGAGCCAAGGGGGAGCACAAGAGGCTGTGAGTGGGTTTTTCTCGACTCCAGGCAGGCTGGTGAAGAGAGTATTGCAGAGCAGCTGCTGCTGTTACTGCTCTCCTGCCAGCTCCACTCCTCCCAATGCCATTCCTACCTCCAGGATTTTTCCCTGACTCACAGCATCACCATCCAAAAGTCTCCCTGGAGGAAGGTATCTGCCTGCTGGTTTGTCTCTTTATCCTTTGCCTCATCCGCGGGAGACGGGAGAGAAAAAAGCCATAAGCAATCAACTCGCCTGCTTCTTTTTCCTTTTTTATTTCCCCCCCTCCTGCTCCCTTCCTGTTGCCAAAGGGGGTAAAATCCCCTTCTGGAGGGAGGTTTTCCAGGTCCATGTGTGGACGGCAGGAAATTGGTAGAGGTGAGCAGTCGGAAGAAGATGTGAGAGCTGAAAGGGCTGTGCCGTGGGAGTGGTCCTCGCTTTGTGTGCAGGCGAGGCAGTGAGTGTGCAGCCTCCCACTCTGGGTGCATCTTTTTTTGGATGCTGTGCGGTTCCCTGTGTGAAATGCTTTTTTGGTTAAAAGAGGAAGAGATGTCACATCAGGAGCTCACCCAGAGACTGACTACGGTTATCACCCATGTGGGTAAGACATCTTTTTCTTTAATTGTCACTACATTTGCATAGATTTGGGGGCCCTATTTCCCCAGGAGGTGCTGATGTTCTGTGCAGGCAGGAAGCCTTTGTGTGAAAATATCACACCTGTGCATGAAATAGGAGATTTACAATAGCAGATTGTAAACCCATTGCTATGAGCAACTAGGTACCCTTTTATTGATGGTTTTGTTTGTTTTTCAAGCATGCAGTTTTTTAAAAAGCAGAAACGAGGAGTAAAGAGACTCCTACCAGGAACTGATCTGTGTAAAATACCTAAGCCCAGTCCTTGCAGAAAGGTGATAGAGAAAAGGGAGTGATGGAACGATAGAGCAACAGCAGTGCTGATGTGCTTTGCATTTCCTTGTGATACTGGAATAGCAGCCCATTCTCAGTCTTTCATTGCCACTGATGTTTCAAGGGTTCTGGAAGGTGCTAGGACAGGATCCGAAAAGCTCTTCCATGTCAGGTTTGATTTTACCGTTTGCGAATCTTCAAATGCTAGTGCACACAGGTAAGGCCCTATACTATGCACTGGCATTCTTACAACTCTGCGCTGGCTACCCACTTGCTAGCATTGGGGACCAAACCACAAGGAACCAAATAACCTGAAACTAGCAAGACAGTGGGAGAAGCTGGTGATGAAAATATCAACTGAGAAAAAGATTTGGGACCCTTTTTTTGTTACCTATAGTTGAGTGAAAGCAGATTGTGGCTGTGTGCCATCATGTAAAGACAATATTTTTAGTTGAATTGCATGAGATCAAATTTTAGCTGTCAGTGTTTGTAATGGATTGTGTGTTGAGAATGCCAAGGATGTTTTACAGGTTCATGGAATGCCTTTACCATTTACTTTGCTCAATCTGTATATAAAACATGGTGTGACCAAAATGTGGCTTTTGGAGAATATACAATCAAGATTTTAGACCACAGTTCTTCTTGGGTTTGATATTAGTTGTAGCAGTTGAGCTAGGTTTAAGAAAGCAAATGCATTTGGTAGCTTGCCTAAAGAAAGAGCACAAAAGCAGATTTAAACTGAATAAAATACTTAAGATCAGGTTCCACCTCTCCAAGCTTTTCTCCAAGGGTCAATCTTGGTGCTCCTGGTAACCTCAGCTGGGGTTTGGTATGGGAGAGAGAGTATGATTGCCAGGAGAGCTTGCAGCATCAGCCTGTTTGACCCAGTGATGCCAACATGAGTTGCTTTGCAATTGTACAAATTCAGATTGACACAAAGTCACATGTAATCACATTTTTATTATGAAGATTTGGGTTTTAATATGAGCCACATTCAGATTGACATAATGTTGCATGAGTTCACATTATTTTTGTGACAATTTGGGGTTCATTATGAGGCACATTTAATATTTTTTAGGAAGAGTATTTCAGTGGAACCAAAGAGATTTGTGCATCTCCTGGTTTTCCTGTTAGACTCAATACAGGTCCCTATCATCCATGTTGAGGACCCTCCTTGACATCAGGAGGAATTTCTTAATGGTAACATAGCAATGTTAGCATTTAGCAATGTAGGAAATCATTCTGGACACTAGAAAGATGTTCATGAACCTTTTCCTTGTTCCTTGAAAAATACAGAGGTTTCTGGGTCATGTGGCTGAGGCTAGACAATCTCACTGGTTTCCTGGAGGTCAACCAGCAGGTCAGCCCTACAGAGAGGAATGAAGCTCTCAGATCTTGTTTTAGTTTGGGTTTTTTTTTGTTGTGTGTTGTTTTGGGTTTGTTTTTTTTTTTGTTGTTTGTTTGTTTTTTTTTTTTTTTTTGTTTGGTTTTTTTTTTTTCCATTTCACACTGAGGCAAGAGCCTTGTCCACCTGCTTCCATCAGAGGCGGGTAATCCCACCATTTTCCCAGCCATTCAAGACCTAGAAATCAGAATCTACTTGTGGAGTCTGCCTGCCTTTTTGTAGGTGGTGCTAATTTTTTATCAAATCATGTAACTGGAAAAAGCATCTGTACAAAAATTGAAGCAAGTGATGTTAAAAAAAATTGCTACTGGCTGAAGGAAGAACCCACTGATGATACACCATGTTTATGAATCACACTTTGTAACATGAGTTGCCTTAGCTGAGTCAGCAGTATCTTATCGAACCAGTAATTCCTGTGTGGCTGCAGGGGTCTCTTCAAAGTTCAGTGGGAATCTCTACAGCTCCAGGAAGAGAAAGGGATCTTCTGCTTAGCAAACTGAGGGGATCCCTCACCATGAACGTACTTTAAAGTGTTTAGTATTTTTACAGCATCTATCATGCTAATATTACTGCTTGGTCTGATGGCATTCAAGCTATCTAGAATGTAGCCAGCTCTTGGTTGGGAGCACAGCTCTTGCCTCAGCCAGTAGCAGGAGGGAATAAACTTATTCACAAGAATTGCAAGAGGCCAAACAGAACTTTATAGGAGCACTAAAAAGAAATACTTTTATATTTGCAGCAAAACCTTTATGGGATCATTTTGGCCTGTGTGAAGTAGATTACACACCAGTTTATTTTTTAATGTGTCGATAAGTGTGTCACAAACAGAGTTAATTGCCTGGAGCTCAACTTACCTGTCCTGGGCAGAAGCTTTGATCCCTCATTAGCTGGCTCAAGCTGTGTTAGGCAGTTCATGTACTCGTTTAAAAAAAGCCTCTTAGCCTGCTACAGACTTCACATATAGCTACCTGCTTCATGCAGGTTAAAATCAAAGAACTGAAGTTATTTAACTACCACCACAGCATCTATCTTGGTACTTTTCTAGTACCACACACCCTGACACGAAGCACGTCTTTACACAGTGTTAAAAAATAGACAACCAAATTGGATCTTTTAAATAGCCCTCTGCTCCCACAGCATCTCTGAGATTATTCCTGGTTGCCTTGGTCTGAAGTAATGGAGCCACTGCAGGTGTCTAAGACAGGAGTAATTTGTGAATGCTAGCAGGCTTTCTGCTTGCTATGAAAGATTTAGCACAAAATGTTGCTGTCTTGTTATTAAAACTTCATCAGAATTCTTTTTTTAACTTAACCTACTTTCATTAAACTTGATAGTTGGGAGCTGTTAGGAAACACTCTTTTGAAAAAAGCTTGTCCTTTGGGTAGGTGGGCAAGTGGCATTCTTCTGTGATGGGGAAGGAAGAAGCTTTGCTGGGTGGCATGTCTCGTGCTGGTAGCAGAATTGTTTGCATGTGGGTAAAGTAGAGCTCTTCCAGCTTGTGAAGCCCACCAGAATACGCTTTTGTGCACTTGCTACCCACCCACACTTGGTAGTTGGTTCCCTGAAGTCTGATGCCAGGTTTGCTATGTGTGGGCAATGTCCTGGGCACAGCTACACACAAAAGCACCTCCACACAGTGCCCCATTTTCCTCAGATTTTTATTCTGAAAATGATTTCATAAGAAGATGGAGCTTCCACAACTGACAGCTGTCTCAAAAGGAAATAGCAGAGCTTGGCTCTTCTTTGTTACTAGTGAAGAATTCCACAGTGCATTAGAAGCAGGGTTTTGTTAGAGGCTCCCTTAACTTCTAATTAAGTTGTAAGAGCTCCTCACATCTTCAAATGACAACTGGATCCAGATGAGCTGTCTGTCAGCATCCCTGGTAGGGGAGGCACTGATGTGAGTTTGCAGAAGGCAGTACATTGCACAATTGATATATACGAGAAAAAGACCCATGTGTTCATATTAGCTTTCATCTGGTTTTACACTCTTATTTACCCAACAAGAATTTGCCCATCGGGGGGGGGGGGGTGAAGAGAGGAATTTAGGCAACTTGATTGAGATCAAAAGGGAAATCAGTAACAGAACTTAGTTTAGGGTGGGCATTTCAGGGCTTACACAATCTCTTAAAATTCCTATCTGTTAACCATGGTGTGTCAATTCCTACTAATCTTGGCTTAACCACCAGATCTGAGGAGCAGAATAAAATACCTGTGTATGTGAAGAGAAGCTGTGCTACAAACTGGGAGAGGAAGTGGAGAATGATACTGCATCCACTTGGCTGTGTGAGAGGAATTTAGGTCAGCAGAATGGAATAACCCAAGCTGGCGCTTGTCCGAGGCCAATGGCTTAGCACCACAAGACCCAGAATCTATTTTATGCTGCAAAGCCTCGAATAATCTAATGTGTCACAGCTGGATAGATGATTGCAAGGTTTCTGATCTGTGCCTGCCTACAACAAGAACACACAAAAAAGATTTTTTAAGAAATTAGCTTCCAAGGTACCATATCGAATACGTCTTCTGCTACTGTTATGCAAAGGCTTAAATCAAGGCAATGGAAATTCCACTGCCTGCAACAGAAAATTCTTCCCTTTGTTTTAGAGCATTCATGCATTTGAAGATCTTTTCGAACCACTGATTCTACGGCTCTGTCCTACTTACAGTTTTCTGGTGAGCAGCAGTAGGCGATTGGTCTTTTCCACTGATCACAGCGCAACAGGTTTCCTTACCCAAACGTAATATGCCAGCGTGGAATGTGCATCTATCGCTGTATTCCCAATGAAACAGAACAATAGAAAACTTAAGAAATATATTTGCTAAATTTGCTTGGGATCTCATGTTAACAAAAAGTGGTAGTGTAGAGTTCCTTTGCCCATTTACCTACATCTATTTAAAAATTGACCTTCTGTGACCATATTATCTGCATCCTTTTTTATGTACCCCAATAAAGCTTTTGAACTGTTGGCCAATTTTTACCTGATTTGGTGAAGTGATGAAGGTCACAAAATATTAAGTTCATGCAAATTATGAAAATAGTGACTGAAGAGAAGAGAAAGATGTAATATGTGAAAAAAAGGCTAATAAGCTCATTGTATTAGACCTCAGAGAATCCACATGTGACAGTGGCATGGGGGAAAGGAGAGGTAATAACAATTTACCTTTTTTTAGTTTCACAGCTTTAAAAAGCTACTTGGTTTCATCTTTGTTCCTACATTGTGGTTATTAATTTTACCCCATTCTACATGCCTTATTCTGTGCAGATGTTTCACTGGGAACTGTTTAGTAAG